ACATGTAAGTGATGTGAGCATTGGATCCAATATCTTTGTCAGTAGCTTCAACTTTAGCAACCAGTGAACCTGGATGACTGTTTTCCATTAGCTGCACTTTGTACACAGATTGTTCAAACTGGGGCACATTATCATTGGTATCCAGAATATCAATAACTATCTGTGCTGTACCAGTTCTCCTTGGGATCCCTCCATCCACAGCTTCCAAAACAAGGAAAAACTTAGGAATCACCTCACGATCTAATGGTTTTGCCAGAAGCAGTTCTGCATATTTGCTGCCATCATTTTGACTTTGCACGTCCAGCTTAAAATGTTCATTTGCGCTAAGTATGTAGTTCTGGATAGCATTTTTTCCTTTGTCTAAATCTTGGGCTTTCTCCAAAGGGAAATGTGTATTTACGGGAGTCTGTTCAGGTATTTCAAAAAGGAATTGATTCTTAGAGAATCTAGGGGAATTATCATTCACATCTTCTATCTGAACTTCAATTTTGAAGAACTGAAAAGGATTTTCCAGCAAAATTTCAGAGAATAAAATGCAAGGGTCATTCAGACCACACAAAGCTTCTCGATCAATTTTATCCTTTAATATTATATTCCCAGAATGAGGATCCAGCTGGAAATCCTGCCTGGAACTCTTAGAAATCAACTGTGCTTTGCGAGCAGAGATCTCTTTGACATCTACTTTCAAATCTTTTAGCACATTTGCTACTGTAGACCCAGCTTTCTTCTCCTCAGGCACTGAATAGCGGAATGGTTCACACAACATACCAGAGTTACACAGAGAAATAAAGAACAAGACCACTTGCCTGGTAAGATGATATATTTCCATTTTCTCAGCCTCTTTCAGGGAAGGTCATAAATTCAGTATGATTCTTTGTAAAGCAGCTCCTACAATTTCCTTTATATTTGTGATCAATATCCAGGGGAAATTATTTTCTGATACTCATGCTGGAATATTTTCTTCTGAAATTTCTCAAGGTTTAGTTAAGAGCTGTTGCCTTCTACTCTGAGGTTCCTCTGTCTAAAGCTAGATCTTTCTATAGGTAAAATAATTTTTATTTTTACTATTTGTGCAATAGCACCACCTTGTGTTTAAAGTATAATGTAGCACTGTGAATTTATGAAATTCCTTTAAATAGGGCATTATTTAAAGTATACAAAATTGGATGCTTATTTTCAAAAGAACAAAATTTTACCTCATGCATACAATCTTGGTGTCATTTGTCATATCAGGACTATATATTAACAACTCTCAATCAAGAGAAAAATGATTCCCTCTGAAATGTAAGAGTTATAACCTTTGGTATGATTTTGCTGTAAAAGTGTGCATAGACACATGTCATAAAGTAAGTACAAGGATCTTGGAAGATTTCACTTCTGACTTATCTATTTGTTTATATGAGAGGTGAGATAATGTAATTCTTTCCTTTTACCTGATGAGTTTATAATGACCAATTAGTTCACACTTAAAAACAATCTTAGTTTTCATCTCCATTCATAACTAAAGATTTAATCATTCCTTTCATAGAAATTAAGCACCCAGGAATCTAAATTAAAAAATCTTCATTTGCAGAAGCTATCACTGTGTTTCTTTGTCTCCTTTTTTCTTATTACTTTGTGGAGGTTTTTACCTCTCTTGTCTGTCTTATGATGTTTTGTTTTGGATGGGTTTTTTTTACAGTTTAGTATTAAGTATCATGTATACAGAAGAGAAGAACTGGAATGAAGAATTGACCATTATATTAGGCCAACTTGGAAGAGGGATGGAGATTATATTCTTGTATTTGATATATTCAAATTCAGATATTTTCAGTGTGCCTTTAAGGTTGAGGTGTAGACAGACAAGGGTTTCAGAATGACGCATTCAGATTTCCAGAGGTGTTAGCTGTAATAGTCTATGCAGCAAAAATCTGAGGGGGATCATGTTAAGGATGAACAGATGTAATGTTGTATACTCTTTCATAGGTTAGAGTTGACTTAATCAGCTGCATGAAGGATATGCTTTTTTAAATAATAATAATAATAATTGCAAAAGGCAGCTTTACTTGGAAAAGGTTACATCCTGCGATGATACCTTTAACACCATCGAACAACATCTGCCTATCCCAGGTCCTTGGGAAGGACTCAACAGGTGGATAAAAATGCCAAATCCAGTCTAAACATCTGGCTGGCTGTGTGACCACCACCAACAACAATAATAATAACAATAATAGCAAGAACTGGTGGGGCCACAAAACAGACAAAGTAAAAATATGAAGAAGCTAAAGTGCTCTGGAACTTTAGAATTCAAATAGGCAAGCACCTGCCACACAACACCCAGCCTTAACAATTTTGATAAGAAAGACAAAAAAGTGGATAGTGTTCATTGCAATACCTGGAGACAGCAGAACAGAAGAGAAAGAAGTGGAGAAAATCACAAAATACAGACCTGCAAATAGAAACAGAACAACTGTGGCAAAAGAAAGCAAAGATAGTACCAATAGTAATAGGCACCTTGGGTGCAATCCCAGAACACCCGGAGTACCACTTGAAGACCATCAGCATTGACAAAATCACCATCGGTCAAATTGCAAAAGCAGCTTTACTTGGAACAGCTTACATCCTGCGACGATACCTTTAACACCACCAAACAACATCTGCCTATCCTAGGTCCTTGGGAAGGACTCAATAGGTGGATAAAAATGACAAATCCTGTCTAAACAACTGGCTGACTGCGCAACCAACTATAATAATATCATCCTTCAATTTTAGGTGACGTTACTAGGTGGATCCAGTTTCTACTCATGTTTCAAATATCCAGGAACTTGAAATAAATCTATAAACACTTTATTCAGTCTTGTACTATGTACTATGTAATTTTTACATAGCCAAATCTGCCTCGGTCTTTCAGGTCAACTTAGGGCTGTGATATCAAGCAGATACTGAATAGATGGAACTTTCCCAACCACTAGATAGAGATGTTTCTGGAAAATGTATGGCTGATACAACTTTTCAATGTGTGGTTTGCCCATCCCCTACTCCTACCCCCAAATCCAGCTACTACTGTGGTTGTTCGGGCAGAAATTTAACAAATCCAAAGTTCATCCACAATCATGACCAAGAATTGAATCTGGGCCCTTTCATCTATAAGGCAAATACTCTCTGACACTGAACTGTTATGGCCCTTCTCAGTCTTTATAATGCTATATTTTCCCAATCTATATTCCCCCAGTATATTTCCCCATCTATATTCCCCAATCTATATTTCCCCAGTCTATATAATGCTATATTTCCCCAAATCTGGGCTGGCAATGTGGAAGTTGGATTAAATCTTTGTTAATCAAAAATGACAAAGTAGGCTCGTAACTGCCTTGGGAGTAGGGTATAGAGACACAATAGTGATGAAAAGTTGTGCCCTCCAAGATGGCATGCACTGTTCAAAGGGACTAGGGTTAATTTATAAAGGGTCTCATACTAAGTCATGGCTTCTCGAACTATGAATTGCAACCTCAAAGTCATTGGAAGCAATTTAGAGGGCAAACCTGTCCTGACAAAATGGTAGTACTATAAAAATTTACTCTGGGCCTGCCTCCCTGCTTTGACTGAATACAACGGTCAGCTGCAGTACCATTTGAGAACCCCTGTGATACGTTAGTTTTGCAGTTTAATAATTAAAAGTATGTGGTGTATTTATTTCTTGCCCAAACCTTACAATTAAATAATTAGTTTTATTTTGGGGAAAATTTTGCAGAAATTCATTTATCATTTTTGGATGTTGCGGTACTACAGTTTGAGAATCCCACAGTAATAAAGACTTCTGGAGGGGATCATAAAGTGATCTTGTGAACTCAATAAATCCTAGAAGAGAACCCTCACTTACTCATATTGATTTATGCTCAACAACATGATTGAGAACTAAGCTCAGTAACGTTTATAATAATAGTGCAGCTAAATGAAAAAGGGAGGACAGAGAAAGCATTAATAAATACAGAGAAGGGTTGTGATAACAGGTGCCTGGAGTTCAGCTGTCACTCTAATGAGAAGGAAAAACCAAAGGAGAATGGGAAAAAAAATAAAAGAAAATATGTGAGAAATGTTTGGCTATTCCTGCTTTTCATTGGTGGCAAGCTACAACAGACAATGATCAGAATATTCTAAACCAATATGCTCTGTTGGGAAGGATAATCACCAGCCCTGAATGATGCTGTCTTTGTACATGATGCTGTCACCTTGTGGAAACCAAGCAATTCTGAGCAGTGAACTAGGTCATAATAATGCTTGGATGGGAATCTTGGGAGAAAGTAGCTACATAAAAATCTTTATGAAATTCTGAAAACAAAATGGGACATACATTGGAGGTGGAAGTGGAAACAGTAACTATTAGAAATAGCCCAGAATTGTGGAAGTAACGTCAGGAAGTTTAACGTGCTGTTGGTGAAAGATGTAAACATGAAAAGACTTCTTCAGATATGTCCAAAATGAGAGGAAGACAAGTGAATCAATATACCAGCTGCTTAACAAAGACAGCAAAATACTAACCAAAAATAGAAAATATTGAATTACTCAACTCTTTTGGGTCAGGCTTCACTATGATAAAGATATGTACCCCACCAAGAAATTGTAGAGAAGAATTTTAGGGTGAAGTGCAGGATTGAAGCTTGACGTTGGTAGAAAAAGTGTCAGCAAATATCAATTTATTTTGAAAATGAAACAATTTAAATATCCAGGACCAAATGAATAGCATTCTATTGAACTGAAAGATCTTGCTGATGGTCAGGTTGAACCAACCTACCTTCCTTCCTTCCTTCCTTCCTTCCTTCCTTCCTTCCTTCCTTCCTTCCTTCCTTCCTTCCTTCCTTCCT